TATATCTGTCCTTGAAGTGCTGTTTCCCAAAATACATAGTTTGTGATTCACTGTGGAAAAACCCTTTTCTTAAGGGTTTGTCTAAGCATTGTAAATATTGGAAATCTTTACTGCAAAGAGGTTTAATATTATGATACTGGGAAAACCTGGGATTCAGTTAGCAAAAATGGTTAAAATATGCAGTTGTGTATTCTGCCATAATGACCATCAAAATTAATTCTTTTTCTTTTTATCTCTACCAACAAAGTACTGATGAAAAGGATAACCTGAGTTAGGGAAGGGAGAGGATGAAGATCTGTGCATTTCAACTTAGCATTGGCAACAAATGCTGTTTACAAACTGAAATGGGTTCTACAGATCCAGACTGACCAAAAGCAGCCGACTCAAACTTAGAAGGGCAGGATCGTACTTAAATGACTTAATCAGATTTGTTAGCCTTTGTAGACTCTTAATGACTCTTCAGGGAGGCCTTACCTATTTAAACTTCCAAAATGCACTGTGTGTCCTTCTTGCCTCGTAGTCATGTGTACAGTATTATCTACGAACCCTTCATCTGTGAGAACTTAATTGAACAGTATTAGCCCATTTGCATGTAAGTAGTTCTTCATGTGGTGTGAGGTTGCATCTTGGACCTGTACTTCAGTTAACAGTACAAGAGTAAGCTGCCTGAATATTTTTTTTTTTATTCAGACTCCACGCAAAATAAAGCAGTATATAAATATGATAGTGGTATCAAGTTTTAAAACTCAGTCAGCTTTCTAGTACTATCTTGAAGGAAACATCCTCTTTCCTACTCCTACTCTTGGAAGCAATTTAAAATGAGAATTGTGGGGGTAGAGGTATGTTTGTCCTCAACTACTGTGATTTATTCCCCCCCTCCCCCCCCCCCCGCTTAGCTTTTCTAGCTTTCTCCTTTCCTAGACTATTAAATGTATCTTATACAGAGGCCTTGCTGTTGCCATTTTCGAAAGTTTGGTTGTTGAATGTCAGGAGAGTATTTCATTCCTTATTCCTGTATATCTGAAGAATCCATACAGGAGGTCAAATTAATTAATTAAAGAAGATTACCTTTTTGCTGGTATGCTTATTGCAACAGCCAGCAGGTGCAGTCTGAAACAGATCTTAGTGCTGAATCTCAGGTTGTTTCAGACTCTGGGTACAAGGCACTAGGAAATGTGGTGGTTCTCTGGGGAAATTCCGATTAATTTTTACTAGACTCCTAACAGATGCTGATCAAATATGTTGAACCAAAACTGGAGTGTCTAAAGTTAGACTAAATACAGATTTAGGAGTCTTACTAAATGGAGAAGTCCTGACGTACGTTACTGTCTATCTTCAGCTCCCATTTAACTTAGTGGGATTTGCATTTGATCAGCAGCCTAAAAGGTCAGACATCTTTTAAATAGAAACACAATCTCAGTTTCAAAGACCAGGAAACTGTAGTTTAGGCTTTTAAGAGTCTAGCAATGCTTGGATATTACCTAAAGTTGATTGAGGAAGGGAGAGAGCATGGTAAAACCAGTTGGTCTCCTTGAGTTTAGACTGGTTTCTAACCAGATGAGGTCGGGGGCAGGAAGAAAGAGAAACCATATTTTGCTATTTGGTTTTGTCCCAGATTAATTTTGAAAGAAAAATATTTAACTTGTTGCTTTTTCTTTCCTTAGATGATATTACTAGAATGCATTGCCCAAGAAAGCAAATTTCAAATATAAATGATATGTAATAAAAAATACGCGTATTTTTGAGAAGATCCCTTGTCATCATCTTGTCAACAGAACTCTGTTGGCACATCTGTATAACATCATGTCAATTCTGTTGACTGCTGAGGTCAGGTTTTTTGTCAATAGGTTGCAATATTTAAGAAGTAACTTTAACTCTGCTGCTGAGTGAGCAGCAGTTGTATTATGACATGTATATGCATTGTATATAAACATGTCAACTTCTAATGCTTTGGATGAACTGGGCAGCTTACTAGGCCTTTATAAATTTTACTTGGTTGAAACCTCAGGAGTATTCTCACATGTATGAGGCTGTATTATACAATATGCATGTATGCTGATACTGTGATTCTGTATCAAGCTGAAAGCAAGATTTAAGTTTTCTTGTAGAACATTACTCACTTCTTAATGGGAATATGTAAACTGAACAGATTTCATTCTAGATTTCATAAATTTTTCCTCTTGAAATGCCTTTAAAATCCTTAATTTAATGAATTGCTTGAATGTTCAGCTTGATCTTCATCATCTTCATGCTGTAGATGCTGTACAAACTTAGTTTTATTTTTTGTTTGCTTTTGAGAAACAATGCTAGAAATCAACCTTAGAGTTGACCCAGAGAGCCTTGACTGACTTGAAGGTTTGTGTAGCAGTTGATGCTTGTCTGCTAATACAGCCGTGCTGCTGCAGGTCTCTGTTGTACATAGGCCAACTCTGTGGCGTAATCTTTCTTTTAGCTAGAAATACTTGCCATACGTCAGCTTTGCTGTTGTAATATTCTTTCAATTTAACTCCTTGGGATAATCCTATGTTTTGACTTCATGCTGTTAGCTTTGTAAGGTCTATGGGTGCCAGTCATCAGCTGAAACCAGTATCTCACCAAAGTGCTTAATCTTTGTGAAAATTAGATTTTATTGGAGCTATTCTGTTTCTGTTACATGTAGTGTTGCTCCTTCTGTATAAAAAAAAAAAATTTTTCTGAAAGAGAAAAACGTATTTAAAGTCTGCTGATGTTTTATTACAGGATCTTCTGCTATGACATTGTTTAACAGTATAATACTTGATTTCATCTCCATAAAAATAGAGAGCTTTTCATGCAGAACTTAATGGTATAGAACCCAAAGCCAGCAGCAACTCCCAGCTTTCCATGCTGATTGTTTATTCTCTTAAGATAAATCATTTGACTTTGAGTTTGCATTAGTGACAGATTAAGCTGCCAGTCGTAAACACTGTAGGATTGAGTATTTTGAAAGATGTGTGCAACTCTGTGAGGGAACTAAACCCACAAGTATCCGGAAGTAGTGTAATGTTGCATGTGTTCAAATAATATTTTGCAATGTTCATGAGAAAAGGAAGTAAGTATTTAGAAAAGTATCGTTGAAATGGTAACAGTTTATGATTCTTAATTTTTGTTTACTGAAAATAATTCTTGACACATGGAGCTTTTACTGGACTTGACATGGAAAGTTGATCCTGGAAGTAGGAGAGAGACACTTGTGTTACTGTACAGCCAAAAATGCCATTATTTATAATTGGGTAACCTTTCAGTTTACTTTTGACAGTAGAATTGGGCTAGAGTGAAAATGTTTCGGTTTTAAGTCTCCGAGTTTTGAATCTATTTGTGAAATGCTAGACATCTTCAGTTTTTAAAAGAAATAGTAAGTAGTTCTCAGTTTCATGCAACTTGTGTCCATTTATTGAAAATGGAACCCATAAAATTTAGAATTTGAAATTGTGATGTTTACCACCATTCTTTAAAATGCTTCTTCTTCCTTAGTCCTCACTGTTAAATTATCATGCTCTTTGTTAACACTGTGGGGGTGATGACACAAATTTTGAACGTAGGTACACCCTGGGGGATGGTAAACCTTCATAAAAAGGGAGGAGCCAACCACTGTTTACTCCACAAAACCAGCCTGGGTTAGGTGAACCTGCACGTACAACCTGGAGAAATAATTTCATAGTAAAATGTAGTATTTGTGGCAGCACTACTGAATACTGGTTGTTTTTTCTCTTAACTTTAAAAGTTTTTTTCCACATGTAGACCCTAAGACTTTTTGGTCAATTCAATTCTCCTGTAACTTTAATTAGCAACACATTATGCACAGAAAACTTGAGGAAAGCAAATTTTTAAAAAAGTATCCTTCCCTAACACAAATATCCTCTGTGGCATTGAAAATTTATGCAGCTTGGCATAGATCTTGGTCTTGTTGGAGAGCTAAGTAGAAAATTCTGTTCCTTACTGCTTAGATGTTAGGTTTGTAAGGTCTTTGTTTCTTCTTGTCTGTAAAGGTGTAACACATCCTTGGTTAACACTGACTTGCTTAGGTAGCATGAAACACATGTTCCTTAACTGATTCAGATTTTTGAAGATACTCTGTACTAATTTATATGCTGAAGAAATAATTCTGATACTTGGATACAGATCAAAATTTTCTTCTTATGAAGACAGAAATAGTTGTGGTAACAAACTTTAAACAAAAATATACACCGATTATGTATTTGTATTATAGAACTTGGCAATAATGTTTAACTTGGCTACATTTAATAAAAACTTAATGGGCAAATTTAATGTTACTGAATTCTTTGTTTGAGAAACTTGGTCAGTGCGTAATCAGGTTTTACAGAAACTTGGTGGAAAATCAGATTGATCTCATACAGATGTTAAAAAATTCTTTCAAAGGATCACTTCTACGTGTTTATGGATGACTTTGTAACAGGGCAAACTTGGTTGTGTTCTAATTGAAATAAAGTTTTTTGTACTATCTGGTATGAAAGGACAGTGCCAGAGGTGAAGGATGGTGAACAATGAGCTAGACAAGTTGTCAGATACAGATGGTAAAAAGCAGATTTCAGCTTTCTTTTAATTATTGCATTAGATGTATTTAGCTGTCATTCCAATGGAATGATAAATTTAGCTGTAGCACAGCAATTTGGAAATGCAGCTGACAACATTTGTTAAAGATTGCTGTTGTCTTTAAAGTAGTTTTGAATTAGACTATTCACTGCAAGTGCTCTGAAACTGTGACTTATGATTTCTTTTATTCACTTACCCACTTAATCTATTAAAAAATTAGTTGTGCGTTCAGAAGGTTTAACATAATGAATTGAAAGCCGTTTTCTTCTTTGTGTCCTACTGAAAGATTTGACCAGACCATTTTGCTCATATTCCTGGGAAATTTGAGTTGGTTTAGAAAGTATTCTGCTTCGTCTTCATTCCGAATTTAGATTTCAGCTTTTGTCTGAGGCTACTACATCATTAAAAGAGCTGCTTTTCCTTCACAGGCCTATGAGGAGTACACCAGCAAACTAGATGCTCTACAGCAGAGAGAACAGCAGTTATTGGAATCCATGGGGAACGGAACTGATTTCTCTGTCTCCAGTTCTGCTTCAACAGACACAGTTGCATCATCTTCTTCCTCTAGCCTCTCTGTAGCACCTTCATCCCTGTCGGTTTATCAAAACCCTGCTGATATGTCACGGAATAACCCTAAGTCTCCACAGAAGCCTATTGTTAGAGTCTTCCTGCCCAACAAGCAAAGGACTGTGGTGAGTCAGTTTCTATTCACATACTTGTAACCTCTGTATTTCCTGTCTCTCTCTCTCCCTCTGTATGCAAAAGTTAATGTAGGAGCTGAAAAAATACCTGTGTGGAAGTCAGAGAGGTGGCACGATCACTATTTGTGCTCTGTCACATTCAGTTGTTTTGATATACTGAATGTTTTCTACAGGATTAACACAAATGTCAATTATAGCAGTAATACAGAATACAAAACTTTCAGGAGTTTTACAACAATCAGCTTTCTTGGATAAATAGTAATCTGCCATTTTACAATGGTTAGGAAGGGGCAGGAAGCTCTGTTTCTTGTATTATGCAAAACTATTGATAAGTTTAACAGAGCAAGACTGGGGAAAGTAAGCGTTTTCTAGGTTGTCAAAGTTATTAGCAGCGGTGGATGCTTTAGAGCAAGTGCTGCAAGAGCAGTGAATGCTTTAGAGCAAGTACAAGCCCTCCTGCAACTAGGGAGGGCTGTGCAGAATTACTTGGTGTTTTTTTGTGGGTTTTTGTCTTTTTTTTTTTTTCTTCCCACTCACTGCGGTGAGTGTTTCGTGTTTGGACCCTGATGCTATCAGGCCCTGTGTAGAGAATTGGCTAGGGGAGGGACATAGTTGCTATTAGGAGGGTCAAGAAGTGTTGCCTGCGAACTGCTCAAAAACTGGTGTTTATCGATTTTGACAGTGTTACAGGGATTCCTGGAGTCATGGAAGAAGAGTTGTCTTTTGCTGGCTATTTGATTGTCTGTTATAGGCAGGATTTTTTTATCAGTTAAGAGCTGCCATCTGAAGAGCCTTGATATGTGCTTTAGAGTAATACATGGCAAACCGTGATACAAGAAATTACTGACAAGCTGTAGTCTGGACTCTGTTTTGCAAGGCAGTGCATATTGCTCACTTAGAAGGAGAGCTGTGGTTCCAGAGAAAGTGGGAAAAGAATGGGTAGCATAACCCATGTCCATGTGAAGTCAGTGGTTTTTGTAGCAGTGTGTCAGGTATTGGCTGTCACTGGACTGTGATGGCCTGTGGAAATTGAGTTGCCAGCAAAGAGAAGAAAACAAACTGAGTAATGCTGGGATTAGGAACATGTCCTCTCCCTTTCTCTGCCACTTTCCTTCCCTCCCTCCCTCCCTCCCCCTGCCCCACCAAACAAAAGAAATCATAAGACTTATAGTGGGAACAAAAGATTAAAAGACAGTTGTTTTCACTTGTTGGGTTTTTTTATATTGCTTAACTAAGAGGTAACTTTCTAGCTTGAGGATGTGCTGTCATTTGGTGAGGGAATTGTAGCACTTAGTAGTACTCAGTGACTGGCAGCAAGGTGATAGGAGTTTTTTCCAGCACTGCGTCTAGATGCTCTTTCCTCGCTATGGGAGTTAAATGTAGTTTAACTTGGGTGTAGTCAGGGAGAGGCTCTTGTGCCGGTCCCAGCTCGCTATTGGAGTCTAAACACCATTTACCTTACCAGTCTAGCCCTGAAGCTTGTTTCCAGCTTGCTAAATGTTGGTCACTAAGAATAAAGCTTCAGGAAAATCTGTAGACTTGTGCTATGGTAATTAAAAAAAAAAAAAAGGGGTACTGACAAAAGAGTAGGAGATAGGCTAGTGGTGGAGGGAAGGTGCAAGTCCTTTTAGTCTCAAGTATGGTATAAGTGTGTCTGTAGATGCACTTACATAAAGGAACAGAATCTGTCAGATGAGCTACACCTGTGGGATCGCTGGCTGGAAGCTCAAGTTGACAGGATTCAGCTTCATGTGCTGTATAGCAAGGTGGAGGTCAGCTCCAGCTCTGCTAGGAGAGACTTGGTTTTGGTTGAAATTGTTATTCTAAATAAGCAATTGGAAATACATATTCAGGTCTGGTCAGCAGATGCTGCAAATTTACAGTTCAGCTTTGGCTCAGGGAGAGAGCTGAGTTGGTTTTGCTTCAGTTTTACACACTGCTTGGATCTAGTTGTGTTACTAATTTGAACCTTTTTTTAATAGACCTAGTAAATTATCTCTTTTAGTGCAATGGTGCTTATAGGAACTCAGAGTGTTGGGGTTGTTGGCCTTGGAGCTGAAGTTCATTTCTCAAACTTGAAACAGTGTTCATGTTATTAAAAGTCAGGAATTTCTTGTGTAGAGACTCTCAATGTTGTTACTCTGTTTTAAATATTTATTGATCCTACATGTAGTCTGTTGAACTAAGGACATTTCAGAAGCAAACCCAATTCAGAAGGAATTGCAGCTTACAGTGCAGTTTTAACTGCTGGTAGTCAAATGCTAGGCTACTAGCATAAAAGGTACCCAGCAGTTTTCCGTGAACATTTGCTGTAGTAGACTTTCTTTGTTCTCTCAATGGATGGAGAAGTGTTGCACCCATCTTAGTCTTCCTTCATAACCTCTCCTTTAAAAACAGACCTGTTATGTCTCACATGCGCCCTTTAACTGAGCCATTTGCTTATGTAGGCATGTTGGTAGTTTAGGGTTTTCAAGTGTATAGGATAGCTTCTGATGTGGTGGGGTGTAGGAGATTTCTTGTGATGGTACCTGCCATTAGGTCCTCCCCCCCCAAGTCCCCATTCCATATGGCTGTTAAAGTAAGGATAAAACGTGTCCTACAACCAAGCATGTAGCTGGGGGAGGAGAGATGCTGCTAAAGTTGCAGTGTTTCAGCAAACTTCCCCCCACCCCAACCTTAACTGCTTTCAATTAATATCTACTTCTGAAAGAAATCTTTTTTAATATCACAATAATATTTTCAGTCTGTGCCTCCAACCACAGACCCACTTCAGGAGGGGAGAAATCAGAAATCTTGTCAAATACTAGGGAGTTTTTGTTTATTTTTATCTAGGAATGCAATGACAGTTCTTAAACTGACTTAAAGTGACTGGAATTAAGTTGGTAATGGAGAACCAACCCCCTTATTTATTTTTGATTGTATTCTGAAGCAGTCCCAAGTACTACAACAACCTTTTGTTTGTTTAGAGCTGTTAAAAATGCAAGAAATGGGGAGGGAGATTCTTACATTTTTGACTAGCAACTGCCTTGTTATTTGAGAGTTGTCTTTGTTTTTTGTTTATTGGTAGTATTGTTTGTGTGTAGGATCAAGCAAATACATCAGTTTGAGTTGGCTCCAATTAGAAATACAATGTGAGGAAACTGATGGAGTACAAAGAAAGGAGGCCATGTTGATCAGTGTAAGCGATGTCAGTGCATAGGTAGTGTAGCAAATGTCAAGTTTCTTTGTAAGTGTCATGATAAAGCAGAGTGTTGGACAAAGTTTTTCCTAATGTAGGAAAAGGTGTGAACGTGCTTCCTTGCAAGCCCAGCCAGTATGTGGTAGAGCCTACTGCTGCTGATCAATTAGCAGTTGAAGTCAGCATCTTGATTCAACTGGTGACACAGCAGGGTTAGAATGTAGCTTTTTTTGAAAGCAAAACCATGTAGCTGGCTTGGTTAGTTGGAGGGGCACCAGTGAATAAGTAGTGTCAGAAGTAGGAGATTGTGTTCATCTGTAGTCAGCCTGGGAAGGGATGAAGAGAAGTTTCCTTCTCTGAACAGCCTCCTAGAAAAAACAGCAGTTTGTTTGCTTTTTTGGGGGGGGGGATGTTTATCCCCTATAATGCAGAGAGATAAATGTCTGAAATACGTATACTTCCTCTTTCCTCAGTGGCATGGTTGAACTGGCAAGTTAAATGTCCTTTGGAGAAGCATTCTGCATAGATGTGAGCAGGATAAGTCTGTGCGGGTGGGTTGGTTTGGTTTTGTTCTAGGTCGGAGAGAAGGATGTTGAAATAATGAAAGTGCAAGATGGTAGAAGTCTACCTGAGATCATCAGTTATTTTGCAGAACAAATTGATGAGACTTATCCAAACTGTGGGTGGGAGAATTTAGGGAAAAAATAGTTTAAAGCTTATTTGGGTTAGGAATCTAAATGGCTGTGGGGTGGATAGTAACAAAACTGCTAATCACAGGAGAGCTTTTGGAAGGGAGAGAGAGGTAAGAACTAAGACCTTAAGCTGGCTGCTAGAAGTCTGAGAGATTATGTTAGATGCTGAGACTTGGTTTTGGTGGAAGGGAAATAGTCTTGAATGGGAAGTGGATGACAGTGTGTCAGCATAAAAGCAAAGGTTGCATATACTGGGGGGGTTTCTGAGAGAATGCGTGAAGCTGGAACAGAACACAGCCTTGTAGGATCCTTAGATAATTGTGATGTGGATTAGAGTTTGTTGGTTTTTCCCAAATTATATGATTGAAGGTGCAAGCAGAGAGAGAGAAAAGAAACGGAAGATAACACTCATACAAATGAATTGAAGGAGACACATAGCTGGTTGTTGGGAATGGGTAGTAACTCAAGGAGAATGAGGATTAACAACTGATCCAGAGGTATGGGAAGAAGTCATTAAAGATCTCAATAGGATAAGTTCAGTTTAATGTAAGAGGCAGAAGACAGTGAAAAAGTTTAAAATGGACTGAAGAAGATGACTTCCTGGCAATGAGCATAAACAGCTTTCTATGAGTGTAAAGATTACAGGAATATGGTATTTGCATATAGGACAAGATTCAGTTATTTTTGGGGATTGCTTCTAGTTGTGTGGGTTTTTTTATTTCAGGGTTTGGGGGGAAGGGGGTGGTTTTTGTGCACCTGGGTAAAGTTTCTTTTGCATGTCTTTGGGACCGACAATGTTAAGCTGGTGGGCTTGGGATAAGGAAAAAAACCCCATTCCTAATTGCAAGAACTGTTCCAATTTTTGCTTTCCTCTGTAAAAGTTGACAAAACAGTTAAAATTATTTAGGAATTTCACCTATTGGATTGCTTGTTTACTGTAGACCTTAAGACATTAGTAGGACTTTTTAGCCAGGTTTCCTGTGGCACATCAGTTGCAGCTGGTCCCTTGCAGGAAAGTGTTCTGAGACCTGGGGTGGAATAAACATTTTGTGGGCGTATGTGGAGTATCTCTCTGTTGCAGTGAAAGAGTACAAGAATAGGGCAGGCATGTATGATATTTT